ATTAATTTTCTTAAGGGTGGTTGGTTGGGTGGGTGGTGGTTGTTGTTGTGGGGGAAAATTTTTGTCATTAAATTACACGCATCTTAATTAAAGAGACGATCCTTCGCGCGTAAAATGTTTTGGACAGCTAGCTCGTTAAAATTGGATTTCTTAGCACGTTTTTCTACATAGCGTGTTTTTAACCCATGGCAGTTGCTTGTTCATATTTTTTTCTTTTTTTTTTTTTTTTTTTTTTTTCTATACTGGCCGACAGGCTCCGCAGCTTGACACTTTTATTTTTTTTTTCCTTTTTTTTTTGTTTTTGTTTTATTTTCATTACGAGATATAGTCCAGCTTTTTTTTTTGTTTAGGATTTTTTATTTTATTTTATTTTATTTTATTTTATTTTATTTTATTTTATTTTATTTTCCCTCCTTAGATTTTCTTCCTTCGTCGTCACAAGTGTGTGTATTGTGTGTGTACACGTGTGTTTTTAAATGTTGTAACATATGTGTGTGTGTATGTTGTGTGTGAATGTGTGTCATAGTTTGTTTATTTTGTTATGTGTTATTGCTCATGTGTTTACGTAAAGAGTGAGTGTTTTTTTATTTTTATTTTATTTATGACCTACTTGAAATTTGTCATTTTATCTTTTCTAGTTGAGAAACCGATTCAATGAAAATTTCATTCTTTTTTTTTTTATTTTGCATTTACGTGTTTATATGCGTGCTCGCGCGTCTCTGTGTGTGTGTGTGTGTTCTTTTTTGTCCAGTCTATGATTTGAAATAGTTTATCTCGCGATTCTCGAAATTATTGAAACACTATATTATGTACGTGAAGCCTAATATCTTTTTTTTTTATCTCTCTCTTTAATTATGTTTCTTTTTTTCTATTTTCCTTTTTTAAGAAAAGATATTTTTTGTAATTATTTGCTTTCAAATAATTTTCAATTTTATTTAAAGATTATCATTCTCGTGCGTTTACAATTGTTAATTTTCACCCTTTCTTCTTCATCTTCCTACTCGATTTTGTTTGCATCTCTTAAATTCTTCCTCCTCCTCCTCCTCGTCCTCCTACTCATCTTCTTCATTTTTTGTTATTTTTATTTTGTAATTCATATCGGCAGTATCGTCCACGGAGATAAAGTATAATTTAAATGACATACATACTTGTTTATGCGTAGTACGTTTAACAAATTCATTTTCATGTGTCGAGGAAAGAAAAGGTCTCTTCTCACTTTTCTGTCTTATTTTTTTCTTTTATTTTTAATTAACGCAACCCGTTTATTCTTCGTCGTTTTTTTCCTTTTCTTCTTCTCTCTCTCTCTCTTTCTTTATTTTATTTCATTTTATTATTACTTACAAACAGCAATCCTTTTAACAAGGAGGCTGGGAACATACTTGCATGCACACATACATACTTAAACAACATACACGCGTATGTTTGTTTAAAAAAGTAAGGGAATGTAAACGAAGTACGTTCAGGGTGCATTCTTTCTCTCTCATTCGCATAATCCTCCCCTTTTCCTTTCTCTCTCTTTCTCTTTCTCTCACTGATTCACTTTTTTCCACCCGTAAACTCATAAACAATTTCAACTTTACACTCGGCACTTCTAACCGTACGATTCCCTTCTCTAACTTTTTCAATATTTTGATGAAAACCTTTTCGAGTCCATCTTCTTTGATATTTTAACACTCAGCCGACCAATTGGGTAGATCTACCCATTTCAATATAAGTCAATGCCCATTTCCTTTTTTTTTATTATTTATCTACATGCTAGTCACTTGATTTCGAGTTGTTCATTGCTGACAAACTATTTTTCTATAATAAAATCCATCAATTAAGTTTAGCTTGTTCAACCATGGTCGGCTAAATGTTAATTATTGAATCATATACCAATAAAAAAAAAAATAAAAAAAAACACGTGGGACCTCTCATGGGGGGAAGAACGAGGCCGATTATGCGACTCGTCGAGAGAGGTCTTTCAATGTTTTTTTTCTTTTTTTTTTTTAATTTTTTCTGTTCATCTTTTATGATCAACACAACAATTTAACCCTTCGTCTTTTTGTTTCTTTCTCTCTTTCTCTCTCTCTCTCTCTCTTTCTCTTATTGCTTTTCCGCGCGTTTTAACACGACGATCGTGTGTGCTTGTGTTAGATAGTATCGAAAATATAATAGCTAAATATATTTAAATACACAAATCGTACAAACGATTTGATTATTATCGAATTATTTGCACATTTGTTTAACGCGGTAAGACGAGACGGAGAGGGGATAGTTGTTGGAGTTGGGTTGGTTTGGGTTAGGTTTGTTTAGATCATGCCCCAAAAGTGAAAGGTTGAAATCGTTTATGATGGTTCAGGATTTTATTCTGGGTTACGTTTAGAGAAAAGGTGAGTAAGAGAATGAGAGAGAGAGAGAGAGAGAGAGAGAGGAGGGGA